GGGGGGGGGGCGGGAGGAGGGGGATTTTGGAATAGGGATTTCTTCCAAACTACCATAGACACTAAAATCCACTCTCAGGGTCTAAAGTTAGTCCCTAAACCAAGTTTGAGTAATAAAGTCTCAGAAGATTACTGCCTGTGTGTGAAAGTTATGTGCATACATAACAAAGTTTTCAGTGGACTAGGGAGATAGCTCAAATATCAAGGGTAAATGCCTTTAGGCACAAAAAATATGTCACCTCCTGGTGTCCAAGGACTGCTAGGTATAGCTTCGGAGGCTCAGCACCACTAGGCCTGACCAGTTTGTCTGAGTTCTAGCACTGAACTATCTCACCTAGTTGGCCGGTATATAGCCTATAGTGGTCTCGAAGCCCTCTAAGCACTTTTTGTTCGCATTTCCCCCACCTTAAAGAAACCATACAGATCCCTTTCTATTGAATAATAGAACTTGATAATTAGGTTCAACTCATCAAGAAACAACCAGAGTATGGACCAGAGAACTAGTACAGTGGGTAAGACATTTGTCTTACATGTGTCAACCAAGGTTTCATCTGTGGCATCCTATATTGTCCCCTAAGCCCTGTCAGGAGGGATCTCTGAGCCAGCAGTTATCTATGAGAACTGCTGGGTGTGCCCAAAAATAAATAAACAGCCAAAATCTCACAGTGACTCAGTTAAAAAAATTAAACTAAACAGAAATAATTTATTAATTATAGAAAAATAAAGCTTTTTAAAAAATCCATAGTAGATTAAATTAAGTTTCAGATACTATCCAAATGTTTTTGTTTTTAGCAAAAGAAAAATTGGAATTTGGAAACAGCACAAGAAATATTCATCATAACGGGTGGAATTTTCATATATATATATCTTAAAAAGTAAATTTTATATAAGTGTCTTGACAAAAATATGGAAAAAGTATTTTCAAAAGAAATTTCTACAAAATTATAACCATTTCCAGATTTGTTCTGTAGGTTGCCTTATCCCAATCAAAATAGAAGTAGTAAATCATAAGTAAAAAGGAAGACCACTGGCAATAACAAGAGATCACTTTAAGAAAAGAAATGTAAAAACTAATAAAATCAGACACAAAAACATACATTAATAAGCTGTATAAACATCTAATTTCCCTAAGACATTTTTTCAAAGGTGTTCATGTTTTCTGGAAGAAATGAACAAAATTGAAAAGCATAGTTATCTATCTCGAGGGCACTTCAATGTTCCTTACATAAAGGAGAATCAACAATTCCTGTTCAATAAAACATGTGTTCAGAGGGCTCTAGACTACATACTTTGACCTTTCATTATCACATGATTAATTTGTTGCACAGTGTGAAGATTTTTATCACATATCAGCAAATGCATGCCAATCTTTCCTGTGGAATAAAAGTCCCTTCCTGATAGTCAAGATTTTTAAAAGAATGACTCCCAGTGATAGACTCGGATCACTGGCATCTTACCTAGACCAAACAATGACTTGCTTACTATTGTGATAGATCTCTTTACTATGGTTCTAGAGTATCTACTATTAGAACTCTGCTTTCAAGATGCCAGAAATGCATCAAACAACCCAATAGATTTTCAGATCCACTTCACCTCAGCTCATATGTCGTCTTCCAGCCTCTATTCTTATAATTCCTCTTTTACCTGCTTGTGGTGAGAGAAAGAATGATTCCTGATACAAAAATGCAAGGATATTTTGACAGACATATCTAAATGAAGGCTGAGTTTGGTCTCATCAGAAAGAGGCAAAAATGATAATGTTATTTGAAATTTGCATAACTGTCATTATATCTGACAGTACTATTTCTCTGAAATATAAAATGAGAGAAAATCACTAATATGAGTTATTGACTATAAGTTTTTAGGCCAATCAATATCAAACCCAGGGTCATTTAAATGCAAAATAGCCACCCAGACTTATTTTTGAAAGCAATCAAGAGGCAGATGCTTGAGAAATGCTTAGAAATAAAAACTGTACTCCTGGTTGGGAAATATCAGACACCTGCAGATTGTCCTTTGTCCTACCCCTGGGTAACCTGGGTCATCTGCCCCAGATTAGTGGTCTCATAATTAGCTGTCTCTCCCACTCTCCTCTCAGTTTACCTAAGAAAATTGGAAGTATTCTGAATGACCCAGCAGCAGTTCCCTTCCACAGAAACACTTGTGTGGTACATCAGGAGTGGTTTTAAATGGTGGAGATAATTACTTAATTCAAGCTAAAGCAACTGGTCAAGTAAACATGTAGCAGCCAGGAAGCTATTAGCATGATTTTAAGGCAATTATTCCATTAGTGTTTAATAGTCTCCAATTAGACTTCTCTATAGAAGTTTGAATATCTTTTTCCCTTCAGAAATTATCAGTCAAGTGATGCATGAAGGTACTGAGCTCATTTTAGATGCATGGGTATATTTATATTTAAATATATTTATGGTGGAGTATATTTATGTTTAAATATACACATGCATACATTTATAAGCCAGAAATCCCCACAGAGGCTCACATTCTGAGAATCAATAGTCATCAGTCTCTGAAGACAAGAAGCCCAGGGACCTGGCTCTCGTTCTCCAAGCCCAGAGGTATCTCATCTCTCCTTTTCTCCCTTGCCCGCCCCACCCACCCATGCATATACCAGATTAACTTTACAGAATGATGAAGAATTCAGGTGTGCAGATTTAGTGATTTTTTAAATAAAGGATTCAGGGTGAGAGTGGAAGACTCCGCAGGGTATCCAGTTTGATTATACTAGTAAGAGAAGTTGGGGAAACTAGAAATTCTATTGGGAAGCAGTGGAAATTCCACGGTGTCCAATACCAATTTTATTTGCTTGGTGCCCATACCCAGAGGTGCTCAGGGGTTGTTCCTGGCTTTGCATTTAGGAAACAGTCCTGCTTGGGGAACCATAAGGGATAGCCTCTGAGTTGGCACCATGCATAACAAGTATCCTGACTGCTATACTCTCCTTCCAGCCCCCAACAGCAACATTTTATGTCTCTACTCTAAAACCATCAGAATATCAAAGTCTCTGAACTGAGGTTTCACTTTCTCCCAGGGGATGAGAAGGGAAATTGCCCTGTTCCTGTTAATCCCTACTCCCTTTACCCTCGTTAGTAATTGTTGCTGTTGAATCATTCAGGTACAAATCCCAAAATTCTTAGATATTCCCTAAAGACTAATTTAGCCATCAAATCATTGAACATTTAGCAGGTCATTTTCCCTGCTGAGGTTCAATTTTTCCATCTATGAAATGGAACTAGTAATAGTGCCAGCAGGGCCCCTTCAACAGGGTTTGGGGAAAGGTTCTGTGATCTCAAGTATGTGCCTTTGGATTTGAAGACTGGTGCATTGCAGAAACATAAGATGCCCCGACACATGGCATCACTCTGTCGGTCAGAGCTAGCCTAGTCTTTCTCCTCCCTCTATCTCTAGAGAGTCATCTATAAGAAGGCAGCCTGACCTTCTCATATGTGTGGAAATATCCAGGTGAGACCAGGTATTAAAAAAAAAGGAAAAGAAGAGGAGAGGAATTCTTGGGGAAGTGAAGGTGATGTTTGGCCAACAAAGTTCCTTTCATCTGTCTCCTCAGAGAGAGCAATGGGCAGGTTCCAGGAGGTAGCAAGCAGGGCAGTGGAGAAGTTGGTTCTCTTTTCCCCTTGGAGGTCCCAGGACTGTTGGTAAGCTCCCTTCTGAAGAAATGTCAAAAGGAGGCAAATCCTAGACAGCAACAGTTAGTTGCCAACACTTGCTTGACAAATGAACAATGGGTCTAAATTACCAGTCAGTTTCAGAGCTGCTCCTGGGATTTTCAGGAGCACTTCATTATTTTGCCCCTTTTCTTTAATATTGTCTTTGACCCTCTCCCACCCCCCAGTGACTGAGAAAGGTTCCTGGACTGGTGGAGACCAAGGAAAGGTACCGCTAAGGACTCAGTTCCAGACCTGTTGGTCACTTGCCCTGTAGCCTGGCCCTGAAAGAGTGAGAGGCATCTGCGCAGCAGCCCGACCATCATCAGGTAGAACCTGTCATCTGCTGTCAGCCAGGTAAATTGCTCTGGAAAGGACCCTCCTTCCTGCAAGAGGGCTGCAGCAGAAGCTCACTCCAAAAATCTGCCCTTTCCTCTGGGCCACTCCAGTCACTTCCCTGCTTTGCTAGGCTTCGTGCCTTCAGTGCAGTCAAGACCTGGGGCGATCACTCTTCTCCTCGGATCTGCCCTGCCCGTTAAGCCCACCCTCTGCCTCAGGGCCCTGGCAGCTTTCCCTGCCTGGTTTCTGTCCCGAGCAACAAATGCAGGACCCGAAAAGGTCTGTGCTGTCCTGCGCGGGGAGCTCCACGTTGCAACCAGCCCCGTGCACCAGACGCCACAGAGCTTGTCCACCCGGGCCGGGCCCTCCCGGTCCACGCAGACTTAGGCAACGGCGCCCTCCGCTCCTCGCCCGCCTGGGGCGCTCAATCAAGAACAGCGATCGCGCGGCCACTGGTCCCTAACTTTCAGCCCTCTTGGGGCAGCGCTTTGTCCCTTTAAAGGAGACTGGAGACGAATATTAATGACTCAGGCAGGTGCAAACCAAGAAATCGACAAGATCGACTGGATTCCGTGACAGCGATGGAGTCGCAAGTGCACGGCTTGCCCTTAGGACACACGCTCTTTCTTAGAGACCCCGGCCAGCGCCCCCATCCCTCCGTAGGGACCTTTCGACGGGGACCGGGGCGGGGGGGCGCCTGCGGGAGTCGCGTCTGCTCCCCGCCCCAGCCCTCTTCGCGCACATGATGGGGAGCAGTCACCTTGACACCCGCGCCACGGTCCCCGAGGTTGCGGGGTGGGGGGGCGGATGGCAAATGCAGGAGATCGGAGGGACCGCCACCCCCCACCCCAGGGCCCCAGCCCCAGCCCTGTAGGCGAGTTTCGCGGCGCGACAAGTTCCCAGTCGGCGGCGGCGGGGACAGCAGGGCGGGGCGGGTGCCGCGGGCTCCGGGCGCCCCGTCGGCTGCCCTCTGCGCGCCTACCTGGGATGGCTAAATTAGTCAGGGGGATGCTGTGGATGCTCTCGGGTAGCGTGGCCATCCAGTCGGCTAGTTTCAGCTCGTTCTTCCCCTGAGACGAGGCCATCGTGCCGCTCGGCGTGCCGCGCGCTGGTCCCCCTCTCCTCGGGCAAGCTGACAGGCTGCTGCCGCTAATCCAACGTTCGCTCCCGCCGCCCCGAGTTTACACGCCGCGCTGCGCCACACCCACAGGATGGCGCAGACACATGCTAATTTTAATAATCATTCAAAACACCCCGTGCTCCCCGAGCGCCGCTGCAGACTCTGCCCGAGCTTTTGTTCCCCGCGTCCGCGCGCAGCTCCCGGCTCTGCCCCCTCCCGCGCCGCTCCCTCCTCCCTTACATCCCTTCATCCCTTTCTGCGTCTTTGGCTTCTCCAGCCCTTTTCTGCAGCTTCCTGATGTCTCCTGCCTTTAAACTTGGTTCGCCCAGCGCTCCTGCCCGACCCTTTGATGTGACTTCCCCTATCTGTGTGTAAAAGCGTCTGATGCTTGGATCCAAAATCCTAATCGATTTGGGCATGCCATCTGCTCCTGGGAGTGACTTTCATATAGACTTTCTGGACTTTCCACTCTGAACCAAAAGCTAGTCTCTCTCTCTCTCTCTCTCTCTCTCTCTCTCTCTCTCTCTCTCTCTCTCTCTCTCTCTCTCTCTCTCTCTTCCCTTTCTTTTGGTAAGCTATTTTATTATTTTTTTTATGTTATTTTTCCGTATTTTTATATGTCCCTACTTGTAGCAAAATGGTGGGTCTTTACTCTGCCCTCTGCCTAAGGTTTGGCGGAGTTCACAAGTTCACTGTGAGGTCAGAACGAGACAGCAGGTTCTAGGTGGTTACCGCTGAATCCCGGTGTCCTGCTCGAGACATTTCAGGATAACGCAGCACTCCATCCCTGTCGCGTCCCTGATTATGAGCTATTTCTATGGAGAAAGCTGCCTGTCTCCTTTTTTTTTCTTTTTTGGTGGCATTCAGGACAAGCCTGAAGTCTGAGGCTAAGAAAATCACCACATTTCTCAGTGACATGCTGTAATTATTGCCCGTAGCTCTCGGTGAAATTTATTTGGCACCAATCAAAATGATCTATCTGGTTGTCTGAATTTTTCTTCCTTGGCAGACTAGAGAGATGTGCCTCGAGAGAGAGAAATCACTTCTTGAGTCTCTAAATAATAAAAAAAAACTGTCTTGGTCCACGGGATTTCAACAAGCAGGGAGAAGTCACTGCTGTATCACTGTCCTACTGTTGTTCATCAATTTTGCTCGAGCGGGCATCAGTAACGTCTCACAACAAATTGTGAGACCTGTTGTTACTGATTTTGGCATATCGAATACCCATGAGTAGCTTGCCAGACTTTGCCCTGCGGCCTGGCGGGTGAGATACTCTCCATAGCTTGCCAGGCTCTCTCAGAGGGGCAGAACCAGGTCGGCTCCATGCAAGTCACACACCCGACCTGCTGTGCTATCGCTCCAGCCCAGGGAGAAGTCAAGTCTTACAAATATGGTGAGTGGAGGGGTATTTTGACCATAAATCTATAAGAAATGGACTGAAAATAGATTGGGTCTTTGCAACTCAAAAGCTGCAGAGGTAATAAAGGTAACACTGGGTAGGAGATCATTCTCCCCAGCCCCAGCACCAAGGTCAAGATATTCCCTTAGTCAAAAAAGCACAGATCTTAGAATGCAAACTAATGCACTCAGGAAAGAATAGAAAAGATTACCTACTGGCAAAAAAGAGCACTAAGGAAAGAATAAATAACAGCTTAGGGTCATCAAGATACAGAGGGCAACAAAGGTAAAAAGAGACTAGGAAAATGTCAGGACCTTACTCTATATTTTAAGGGTTCCAGCTCATTAATTGTGTGAAACATTCTAGAATGTTTATTTTTTTAAATTTTTATTAGTGAAACACCATGAGGTACAGTTGTAGACTTACAAATTTTTGTGCTTGGGTTTCAGTTATACAATGATTGAGCTCTTAATGTACCTATTGACTTCCGTTGTGCTATCTATAATGTCCCTGTCAGCTTAAACAATGGTTCACATTGGGAGCCAAGGTGGGGGAGCAATATTGTGTTAAGTAAAAGACTAGCCTCTATGCTATCTAATGGATGCTCAGGTGATGTCTCCTATATGTCTGTTTGTCTCATTCTCTGTGACAGATCCTTGCTGGAAGGAGGTTGAAAGTGCCAATCCAACTGGCTTTGGACAACTCTGCTCTTGGATGTAATGGGGTAGAAAGCCTTTCCCCAAAACAAATGCTATTAGTTTGAGGAAATGAAAACCAAGGTAGGAGAGCTCAGAATAAAGCAATAATTTTCATTTCATTTCATTTCATTAGTCATATAGCATTAAGAAGAAAAAACACCTCTAATCTTGTTTATTGTCTAAGGATGAACAACCCTAGTGGTATTCATTAAAAATAAGGAGCACTGTGGTGATGTGGAGAGAATAGAAACAGCAATGTACTCTTGTGATCAATTTTCCATTCCCCCCTGCAGAATTAGTTCACAGCCTTAAGTATGTATGAGAAAAAAAATATTCTGGAGATCGTTCTCCTCCAAGATAAACCTTAATGCTCTTGCTAACACTGTAAGCTGTAACCAGAAGATCTTTTGATTAGAGTAAGAATTTAACTCACTAGTAGAGACTTCTTGGTCAAGAGAATCCAGCCCTGCTAAATGATGTCTGCAGGTATCACAGGACAGTTTGAAAAGAAAAGAAAGTGCAAATTTGAGAGTTTGCTTCTCCAATTCAGAGTAGTTTTGGCAAGATCTCTAGCGTTCAAGTTGTCTCCTCCGTAAAATGTGATAACAACTCAGATCTGGTGCAAAACTTTTAGAAAGGAGTGTATATGAAAGAACTCCATCAATAAAGTGTTATATAAAATAGACCTAAGTTTATTAAAGATAATGTGTGTAATTCATTCTCTTTGCCTCTTTTATTTTTATAAAGTATTCTTTTTCAGTAATATTTGGGAGGTTTTTTTTATTTTATTGCCTCACAGAGACTCAGAAACAAATCTCGGAACCCAACAGCTTTTGGCACAAATGCATCCAGACTCCACATTAGATTACGGGCCCCAGGCCTCCCCGGTGGGTGAAGGTGCCGATCCACCACCCTTTCCCCCTGACAGCTCAGGGTCTTTCATCTTCCAGAGGCCAATGGACAACCAGGTAGGGACCAGCAGTGATGAGACATGCATGGCCTCATGGGATGGAGGTGGGGCCAGCCCTTTCCTCCCCCACCCCAAGAGACCCTGAGTCGCCACCCACAAACGGCCCTCTGACTACTGAACAGGCTGCTTCAGCCATGATCCCAGAGACTGAGAAACAAATCTCGGAATCCAGCAGCTTTTGGCAGAAATCCCTCTAGATTTAATTATTAAGATTTCAGAATTCCAAAATTGCGCAGCCGCAGACATCATATGCTATTCATTATCAGCAATAGAAAACAAATTGTCTAATGTTGCATTTTCAGCAACATTGAGTGTTGGGGTAAAATCCCAAATAATAATGGTGGGTCTGGTGTTGAAATATTGAATGTAATAAAAGTAGAGAGAGAGTAATGTGAAAATCATCTGCCATACAGGTAGGGGGGGTATGGAATGGGGTGTACACTGGGGTTTTTGGTGGTGGAAAATGTGCACTGGTAAAAGGATGGGTGTTTCATCATTGTATGACTGAGACTTAAACCCGAAAGCTTTGAAACTGCTCTCACGGTGATTTAATAAATAAATTTATTTAAAAAAAAAAAGCAAGGGGGCTGAAATGATAGTACAGCGGGTAGGGTGTTTGCCTTGCACATGCCCGACCCGGGTTCAATTCCCAGCATCTCATATGGTTCCCCGAGCAATGCCAGGAGTAATTCCTGAGTGCATGAGCCAGAAAGAATCCCTGTGCAATGCCGGGTATGACCCAAAAAGCAAAAACAAACAAACAAACAAAAAAACCACTGAATTGTACAATTTAAATGGGTGACTTGTATGTACATAAATTATAGTTTAACAAAGTTATCATTACAAAAATGAACCAGAACAAAAAACTGTATTGATTCACCATGAGCATAGTTACATGCTTTCATGGGCTAGAGCAATAGCACAGCAGTAGGGCATTTGCCTTGCACACAGCCAGCTTGGCTGACCCGGTTTTGATTCCTCTGCTCCTCTTGGAGGGCCTGGCAAGCTACCAAGAGTATCTCACCTGCACGGCAAAGTCTGGCAAGCTACTCATGACATATTCCATATGCCAAACACAGTAACAACAAGTCTCACAATGGAGATGTTATTGGACCCACTTGAGCAAATCAATGAACAATAGGAGGACAGTGCTACAGTGCTACAGTGCTTTCATGTCTGAGTTACAATCACACAATGATCAAACACCCATCCCTCCACCAGCGCACGTTCCCCACCACCAATATCCCCAGTATACCCCCACCTTTCCCACCCTCCCACTGCCCTCATGGGAGACAATATTCCCCATAATCTCTCTCTACTTTTGGGCATTATGGTTTGCAATGCAGATAATGAGAGGTTATCATGTTTGGTCCTTTATCTACTTTCGGCATAACTCTTCCATTCCGACCGATTCCTCCAACCATCATTTTCTTAGTGATCCCTTCTCTATTCCAGCTGTCCTCTCCCTGCCCACTCATGAGACAGACTTCCAACTATGGAGCAACCTTCCTGACCCTTATATCTCTGTCCTTTGGTGTCAGTATGGGGTTATGTTATTTTCTACTCCACAAATGAATGCAGTCCTTCTCTATCTGTCCCTCTCTTTTTGACTCATTTCACATAGCATGATACTCTCCATGTGTATCCACTTACAAGCAAATTTCATGACTTCATCTCTCCTAACAGCTGCATAGTATTCCATTGTGTAGATGTACCAAAGTTTCTTTAACCAGTTGTCTGTTCTTGGACACTTGGGTTATTTCCAGATTTTGGCTATTGTGAACAGTGCTGCAATGAACATACAGGGAAATATGTCATTTCTACTGTGCTTTTGTGCACTCTCAGGATATATTCCCAGAAGTGGTATTGTGGTCTCATATGGAAGCTCAATTTCTAGTTTTTGAAGGACTGTTCATGTTGTTTTCCAGAAATATTTGGGAGTATTTTTAATAGAGACACTTTTAAGACATGTCTATCCAAGAGTGTTGAGCTTATATATTTGTAAAAGTTTACAAATCAGTTTTTTAAAAAATTAGGTAGGGCAGTCACAGCAATGATGCTCAGGAGTTACTTTTGGTTCTAAATTCAGGAATTGCTCCTGACAATGCTTTGGGATCATTTGGAATGCCAG